GGCGTGGTGTCTGGGGTTACACAGGCATGGTGTCTGGGGTCACACAGGCGTGGTGTCTGGGGTCACACAGGCGTGGTGTCTGGGGGGTCACACAGGCGTGGTGTCTAGGGTCACACAGGCGTGGTGTCTGGGGTCACACAGGCGTGGTGTCTGGGGGGGTCACACAGGCGTGGTGTCTGGGGGGTCACACAGGCCTGATTGTTATACAGTTCTATTTTCTCCTCTGTTGCTTGTCATGGCCTGTTTTTCTTTAGAGAGATTTGTGTAGGCTTGTCCTCTCCAGTAGCCAGAGACCAAGTACCACCCCCCTGGCGGCTCCTGTCCCGTGTACCTCAGCAGTGCATGGCACACAGCAGGAGTTTGGGTTACACAGTTTTGATCTGCAAAGAGCATCCGGATGGAAGGGTCCTTTAGCGGAACTTCTGAAAGTTCGAGCTGAGGCACTCCCATACACATCGCCCTTTGCGGGCAGAATGAAGCCCGTGGTTAGTGCTGGCTTATCCAGGAGGCCTTGGCTCTGCCTGTGCCTGTGAACCCCAGCACTCTTCCCCGGACCCTTGACCATGACGGAGAGAATACGTCCTAGTCTTCCCTCCCTGGCACTCTGGGCACAAGGAAAACCCTGGGCCAAGATCCCAAGACCTCCATGGGAAAGGACGCTGAGAGGGAGGCGGGCAGCTGGTCTTCGGTGGGGAGAGGAGGTGCAGCTGCAGACAGCTCCTGAGTTAGGACCCAGGGGCGAGGTTTGTCCATTCCTACTTGCCATCATTGAGCTCTTGGTAGCTGGTTTGGCCCACAAGGCAGCGTTAAGATGCTGACTCTCAGGAGCAGAGAAAGGCTGGCTGTCTCCTCCTCAGACCTGGTTCCTGTGGAGAGGAAGGTGGCTCTGGGTGGGGCTTGGAGGCTTCCCAACTTGAGAACTCTGGAGTAACTGGGCAGGGCTGTATCCTAGATCACTATCCGGAGGGGCAAAGATGGCTTTGGCTTCACCATCTGCTGTGATTCTCCAGTTCGAGTTCAGGCCGTGGATTCTGGTAAGTGAACAGCACGGGATGCCGGCCCCACCCTCCCACCGGGCAGCTGGACCTTGCAAATGATTTGGAGCTGGAGGGGGTCCTCACACTGGATCAGGGACTGGCCTTTTGAAAGGAAAAGAATAGTATCTTTAAATGAGTCACAGATGAATCTGAGATTTATGAAAATAGACCCATTTTTGTTTGTTTTAACAAAATGAAAATAGGTGTTATATTTTGATTCCTCGTAGTTTCTGAGGAAGAACTAAGCTTGAACTGTGAGAGCTAACGAAAGCCTTGGGTGAGCTTTCATCTCATCCGCAGTCCACTTAGCTGGATATTCCTAGCTGTAGCCCCTGCACACAGGACGATTCTGGAATCAGATACCGGAAGTTCAAAGCTAGGCTGGTCTATATCATGAGACTCTGCTCCTCACAAAAACAAAACAACCTTCAAGCAAAACAAACAAAAAGAAACAACAAAATAAGCAGAGGAAAGGTAACTCCGTGGGTGGAGAACTCAACTTGTAAGAGTGAGAACTTGAGTATGGTTTCTGGAACCCACACAAAAAATAAAATAAAATAAAAACGAAAGAAATAGTGGCTTATGTTCTTAATTATACTACTGGGGAGGCAGAAAGAGGAGGATGGTTGAGACTCACTACATGATGAATCCCAGGCCAGTGAGAGGTAGTGCCTGTGGAAGCAACACTGTATAGAGGTTGTCCTCTGGCTTCCGGAAGCATGTGCACGTATGTTCTTTCTCCCTTCCACCCTCTCCTACATTCTTGCAAACCCACCACCAGCACCAAAAAAGATATCACTTCCTTACTGCTGCAGGAGACCCTTGGAGAGGGACGGTGGGGTGGGGTACTGCAGCTAGGGTGAGAGGAGAAGGGTGGGTGCTGCCTTCGACCGCACCTGGTATAGCACCTCTTTTCTCAGACAGAGCCATCGAGAGAAGAGCGTCCTTGCCCATTGCCACTAGGGAAGCAAAGGACTGAGTGGCTTTTCTTTATTGATGCAGGGGGCCCAGCAGAGAGGGCAGGACTGCAGCAGCTGGACACACTGCTACAACTGAATGAGAGGCCTGTGGAGCACTGGAAGTGTGTGGAGCTGGCACACGAGATCCGGTGACGGGGCAGTGGGCGGCAGTGGGCGGCAGTGGGCGGCAGTGGGCGGCAGATGGCATATCTTCCCCGCCCAGCCCTGGGCACACTGCCTTGCTCTGCTCTGCTTGGTCTGCTCTCTGCCCAGCTGTGAGCAATTTACATCACTCCTCGGGGAATCCGTTTCTTGGCCTGGAAATGGAAGGTTCAGGCTCAGATGAATGTTGATCCCACAGCCAACAGCAGGAAAGACTCTCTGAACAGACTCCGTGGTTCCTGCCACGGTTCCAGGGGGCTGGTTCTGCTTCAGCTAACTGTGCTACTGAGTGGCTAAACCCTTTGTTTAAGGCTGTGTAGACAGTGCAGATGTTTCAACTGCACGTTTTAAGGTTGATTCTGTACAATATTCGCACTTCTTGCCTCTGTGGGGTAGCACCCCATTGCTCTGCTTTTGCCTGCTTCTAGAATGAAGATTCCATGAAAATTGCATTTGCTTGCTCCTGCTTGGCTTCCTTCACTTGTTCTCTGTCCTGCAGGCTTCCTGCACCCACTGACTCTGGTCTCCCCAAGTCTGAACTCCTCTGTGGGATTTTCAGGAGCTGTCCTGGTGAGATCATCCTGCTCGTGTGGCGCGTGGTCCCCCAGATCAAGCCAGGGCCGGACGGTGGAGTTCTGCGGCGGGCTTCCTGCAAGTCCACACATGACCTCCTGTCACCCCCTAACAAGAGGGAGAAGAACTGTACCCATGGGGCCCCATCCCGTCCTGAGCAGCGCCACAGCTGCCACCTGGTGTGTGACAGCTCTGATGGGCTCCTGCTTGGTGGCTGGGAGCGCTACACCGAAGTGGGCAAGCGCAGTGGCCAACACACCCTGCCGGCCCTGTCGCGTGCCACCACCCCTACCGACCCCAACTACATCATCCTGGCCCCACTGAACCCCGGAAGCCAGGTATGGACAGCTAGCTGAATGTGGACAGGTTCTTGTGGTGGGCTAAGAAAGTCTCCACCTGCAAACTGGATTGTGAGGAGACCTCTGCTATGGCAGCCCTTCCATTCCTGTGGTCCATGGAATGCACTTTGGAGCAAGCTGCTGTGAAAGAAGTTGAGGTATCTCAAAGGGCCACAGTTTCACAGTACATGAAGCCTCTTTCAGCTCTATTCCACCTCGCCCCTTAAGAGTTTCTCTTGTGCCCAGGCCTGTGTGCAGCTGCCTTCTGGACTGTTCTGCCCCATTCTTGGGACTGAAGCTGGGTCTCTTGTCTTTCCCTTGCAGCTGCTGCGGCCTGTGTATCAGGAGGATGCCATCCCCGAAGGTGAGCTGTCCACTGTGCCTGGGGAGGCAGCTGAGGTCCAGCTGAGGTCAGGCCCAACTTCCTGCTCTGAGTTCAGAGGCCTCTCTGATGGAGTTGGGGTTATCAAGCATATGGACATAGACCTCTTATCCTCCTGGTACCCTTTTCCTCTCACTGAATAAGTATGTATTTCCTTAAGGTCAGGACTGAGGTGGTAGAGGGGGAATCTATGAGAACCATCCAAGAGACGAGTGCTTAGCATTTATTTGACTGTTAGCCAGTGTTGCTGAGCAACTATATCTATCTGGGGCCAGAGACTCGATGCTTGAACCTGCATGGAAAGCAGCCATGGAATGTTGCGCTGTGAGGCCACAGGTTGGAATCTTCACCGTGGAACCTGAGCCTCCTTTCTTTACCTAGAAAACAGGATCAGTGCTCGCTGCTCAGGGGCTGGTCTGGAGGACTCTCTGGGGAAACATTTGTGTGTAGCTACCTGCATGCTGAAAGACAGTGCAAGATGCCACCTCCGAACCACATAGGGGTCTCTGTGGTTTAATCCATTCTTCTCCGTTGGCCTGCACACTCTGGGCTGGAAATGGAAGCTGGCATAGAGCAAGTACTTGTCCAGGAAGGCTGGAGATGAATCTCTCTGTAGAGGAGCTGGTGGGGGCTACCTTTAGGCCCTCACACCCCTGCACAGAGCTCTGACCCAAAGGTCCAGCTGGTCTGGAAGGTTGAAGGCAGCCTCGCCATGTGGCCTGTAAGCTCACCTTGAGTATGACTGAACCCTTCTTCTGTGCCTATAGAATACCCACGACCTTCCTTGAGAGTGGCCTTTCCCATCTTCTCTCGGGTTTCTTTCTGTGAGCTTCCATCCATTAGTAAGAAGAAGGTGACTCTTAAAGTGGGTACTTGGGCCTTTGGGGAGACGGGCTCCTATCAGGCTCAGGACTGCTGATGGAAGGCACCCCTTCCTCTCCCTCCTGGGGCCTGTGGGCAGCTGGTTCTCCTGGGGAGAACCCTGATAGTGATTCAACAGTGTCTAAAAGCTTTTAGAGGACACATTAGGGTAGAGGGAATATGTCACTGCTAAATGATGACTTTTTTAGGGGCAGGGCTGGACTTGTTCTCTTTCTATGGGCCCAGCATCAGATCCAGGACCTGTCAGCAACAGAAACTGATGGAACTTTGGCAGAGTGGCTAAGGAGAATGACTCCAGTTCTTTGTATGGTTTTGAAAGTAAGCCACTGAGGAAGGGACCTGGAGAGATGAGTCACCTGTGTGGGCATATGCACATGGGCCGCGAGCTCTTTGATCTTTTCCACAGGCTCTAGCGATGTCTGTGTGATCATTGCCCAAGTGTGCCTGTGCTTTTATTCCTCTCTGAAAATACAGAGTCAAGAAGGGCACAGTCACCCAAGCCTCAGGGGAAGGACAAGAGATGAAGAGGTGACGGCATTAATAACAGTGGCGCTGTTTTGAATTCCTTCTGTCAAGATCTTACGTGCCTATTTGTGTGGGTGTGGGTGTGCATGCGTGTGGAGCCCAGCGGTCAAACCCAGGAGCCACTGGCAGTCACAAGGGTCTAAGGCTACTGATTAAGCTGGGCTGGCCAGCCGGTGAGCCCTAGGGGTCCTCATCCTCCTCAGTGCATTGCCACCATGCCTGACTTTACCTGGGTACCAGGAATAAGGCTCAGGTCTACCTGGTTAGTGCACCAAGTACTTTACCAATTGAGTCATCTCTCCAGGCCGTGTATCAAGATCTTGACTTTGCTTCATTTCAGCACTAAGTCCTGAGTTCAGAGGTTAGGGCTGTCACCCTGGGGGCATTCCTCTAGTCTGCCAGGAGGTGGCCTTTCAGGAAGGAGAGTTCATTCATTTTGCCTTGAATAGCAGGGACAGGGACAATGTCGCCATCTTGCATTTAACAGGATTTGAGGCCTTTCTGGAGCCTAGAGTGCTTGTTTGGCTATGGCGGTCCTGTGAAGGCAGGATGACCTCAGATTCACCACTGCCAGAGCCAGAGACTGCCAGGGCTGGCCTCGGAAGCTAGAAGCAAAGCCATGTAATTACTGTGTTTGGTCAGGTGCTAGAGGGGTGCAGATGGTTGGGGTTTAGCCCAGATATCATCACAGGAGGTGACAGGTGGAGGTTTGCCTTTGTGGGGCTCAGCAACCGGACTGCAGTCTGGACTGTTCTAAAAGAGGGTAACTTTGAAAATGAGTTCTGGAGAGCCACACCCCTTGCGCCACATCTCCAGAAGGGAGTGGCAGTGTGGCTTTAGGGAGTGACTGCACCTAGATTGGGCTGGTGCTGCCTGGTGCCCTTTACTAGCTCAGTGACCTTGGGCAGCTTGCCCAACCCCACTTCCTTATCTGGATAATGGGACTGAGCTGTCCCCCCTCCTTTCTGGACGCAGAGAGACGTGTCAAGTGGCTGATTGGTGACTAAGGTTCTCTAACAGGGCTGGGCATCTGGGCCTAGAAAGAAAAGGAATCTCTTGTCTCAACTTAGAGCCCAGTGCCTAGATTTCTCCACTGCGGACTGTGTCCTTCCTTCATTCTGGTCTGGTTGGCCTCAGACCCTACTTCTCTGCTCCAGACTGCACCATGCCAGCTCAGTCTGCCTACTTCCAAACCTCACTCACGGCATGTTTCCAGGCCCCCAGGTCTTCTCTGACATGCTCCCACTGGTGGTTGGCTGAGTGTTGGAGGTCACCCATCCTGCCATCACATACCAGCCTAGCCCTCCAAGCCCCCTTTCTCATGGAACCTTTTAGTGTCTAGCTGGCGGCCTGGACCAGGTGAGACAGATAGGGAAGGAGCCTGCTCCACGTGGCGCAGTCTGCACAGTTCGCTTCTGACTCAGAAGTCACTCATCGCTCACATTCAGCATGCCCTGTCCAGCTCAAATCTAGTATAGACCTCGAGATGGATTTTTCTAGTAGAAGGCCAGGCTGCTGCACAAGCAATGTTTTAAGGCCCCAGGGCCAAGTCAGAGGAGAAGCTGGGGGACTTCTTCCCTGCCTCTGTACCTCATGTCCCCATCTGGGTGCCTTGTCTTTGTTACCATCTAAGCCACCCCCTGAATAGACAGGAAGTGGTTTGACTGCTGCCACCAGTCTGTGATGGCTGGTCACTTGTGGGGGTCAGGGAGCAGTACTACCACCAGTCTGTGATGGCTGGTCACTTGTGGGGGTCAGGGAGCAGTACTGCCACCAGTCTGTGATGGCTGGTCACTTGTGGGGGTCAGGGAGCATTACTACCACCAGTCTGTGATGGCTGGTAATTTGTGGGGGTCAGAGAGCATTACTACCACCAGTCTGTGATGGCTGGTAATTTGTGGGGGTCAGAGAGCATTACTACCACCAGTCTGTGATGGCTGGTAATTTGTGGGGGTCAGGGAGCAGTACTACCACCAGTCTGTGATGGCTGGTAATTTGTGGGGGTCAGGGAGCAGTACTACCACCAGTCTGTGATGGCTGGTCACTTGGGGGGGGGGGAAGCATTGACATGTTTTTCTCACCTCTCTGTGAGAAGGGGCCTTGGGGGTGGGGGAAGGCAGCAAGTGTGAAACCAAACCCTCTGGGCTGTTTCCTCTGCCTGTGGCCTGTGGCCTTGCGTTGGTGGGGAGCTTCCCTGAGAGGTTGCTGGGTCAGGCCACCTGTTCACTGGTTGCAGAATGCTAGGGGAAGCCTGGGCTCTGAGACCCAGGCTGGGCACCTTAGTCAGGGAGAACCTGGCTGATTTCCCCTGGCAACAGCACCCTAGGGAGGAGCCTAGGTGTGTGTGTGAGTCCCATCACTGGGCCTTGTTCCCGCTGCTTGCCTCCATAGCACACAAATGCCACTTCTTATTCTAGACAAATTGATGGTGGTGGACAAGTATCCTGCATACTGCGGGGGACAGACCTGTGTCCATAGGGCCTGGGAGGTGATGGGCAGGAGATCTACGTTAGGATGGAAACAGGAGGATAATCACATGCCCTACTCTTTGTGAGGCCCCCCTCTGCTCCGACTCATGTTCCATGTGGGTCCTGAGGCTCAGTGAGGTCAGAAATGAATGCACGTCCTGCCCTGGCAATGCTGAAACATGTATGGGCATCCCGTACATGGCGGTTCTGTTGGACTTGTCCATACTGGGTTTCATGGTCTGAGCTGATGAGGACGACTGACCAGGTCTCTTCCCAAGAGGGCACCAGATCTCATTACAGATGGTTGTGAGCCACCGTGTGGTTGTTGGGAATTGAACTCAAGACCTCTGGAAGAGCAATCAGTGCTCTTAACTGCTGAGCCATCTCTCCAGGCCTCAGTTATGTCAGACCTGGGCAGTTTGTTAATACTCATTGCACTGTGGTTTTGCTCTTGTTTTGAGATGCAGTCTTGTCATACACCCTAGGCTGCTTGATTTTGAGGGTCTTCTGCTTCAGGTTCCTGGATTCTGGGGTTCCTGGCATGTGCCAGCATGCCTAGACAATTTCTTCGTTTCCAAAAGTGCTAAGCTGATAAATAGATTTGTTTGTTTGTTTTGATGCCTGGGTCACAGGAGGTGGAGTGGGGGTGACTCCCCTGTCACAGTTGTGGGCTGGGGGCTCCTGCCTAGCTCTGGATCCCTTAAGGCTGAGGCTAGACCGGCTGACACAGGGTTCCCTGACTGGGTCTTGTTCCTTGTTCTTATGTGGGATGATGGAAGGGACTGACTGTCCCCCACCTGTGCTCCACAGAACCAGGGACTACCACTAAAGGGAAATCGAACACCGGCCTGGGCAAGAAGTCCCGACTGATGAAGACAGTGCAGACCATGAAGGGCTACAACAACTACCAAGATTGCTCAGCCCTGAGACCACATGTCCCGCATTCAAGCTACGGCACCTATGTCACCCTGGCCCCCAAAGTCCTGGTGTTCCCCGTTTTCGTGCAGGTGAGCCTATGGCATGCCCCAGGGTTCCCTCAGGAGGAAGTGAGCACAGGGCTAACGGTGGAGTCTTATCCAGGATCCAGGGCCCTCTGGGGGCAGGAACATGACTTCATATTGTGGAGATTATCAGGCAAGCAGAAGCCTCTAGAAAAAGTGCAGAAAGCATGGAGTCATCCGAGGGTTCTCTCTTTCCTTGCGGGAAAGTGGTGACACCACGCCTGCCGGTGCTCAGGCACACACATCTGGCCAGCAGCCACCCTGCGGAGTCACGTACCTCTCCTTTTCCTTTCTCACTTCTTTGTTTCTCTCCTTCCTTCTTTCCCACTTCCTGTCAATGATTTCATCAGCACATAAAGTCTTAGGTTCTGTTATGCCATTTTCAAATATAGGTTTTTTTTCCTATCCTTTCCCAATCCTCTTCTCCCACATCCCCATCCCCAATACTTTTCTGCCATCATAACCTCTTTCCCACCTTCATGTCATGTATGTCCTGTCCTCCTTTCCCACCCTCATGTCATGTATGTCCTGTCCTCCTTTCCCACCCTCATGTCATGTATGTCCTGTCCTCCTTTCCCACCCTCATGTCATGTATGTTCTGTCCTTTCCCACCTTCATGTCATGTATGTTCTGTCCTTTCCCACCTTCATGTCATGTATGTTCTGTCCTTTCCCACCCTCATGTCATGTATGTTCTGTCCTTTCCCACCCTCATGTCATGTATGTTCTGTCCTCTCCCACCCTCATGTCATGTATGTCCTGTCCTCCTTTCCCACCCTCATGTCATGTATGTTCTGTCCTTTCCCACCTTCATGTCATGTATGTTCTGTCCTTTCCCACCTTCATGTCATGTATGTTCTGTCCTTTCCCACCCTCATGTCATGTATGTTCTGTCCTTTCCCACCCTCATGTCATGTATGTCCTGTCCTCCTTTCCCACCTTCATGTCATGTATGTCCTGTCCTCCTTTCCCACCCTCATGTCATGTATGTTCTGTCCTTTCCCACCTTCATGTCATGTATGTCCTGTCCTCCTTTCCCACCTTCATGTCATGTATGTTCTGTCCCCCCTCTTGAGGTTTCTTTCCTGGTTATAGGACCCATACCTACACCCACATGTGTATATATAATGAAAGCATTTAAAGTTAGATTCTGCATATGAGAAAGCACATACCACATTTGTCTTCCTCAGTTTGGGTTACCTCACTTAATATATTTTCTAGATCTACCCATTTTTCTGCAAATACCCTAATTTATTTTTTTTCTGTCTGAATAAAATTCATTGCATATGGTTACCACATTTTCAGTGTGTGGGCCTTTTAAAAATCAATATATAATTACCATATGACCTACCCATACCACTTCTGAATGTGTGTCCAAAGGACTCTATTTCTTACACAAAGATCCTTGCACATATATTTACTGCTGCTGTAGTCACAATTCCAAGGAACTGGAAACAGCTTAGACAGCTATCAAATAGTGAATATTAAAAATGTACTACATTTCTTTCCTCTCAAATCTTTATTAGTTCTGCCATTCATATATCACATACATGAATGTTTAGGTTGTTTACACATTCACAAATATAAAAGCTCTTATTTTTTCCCACTGCTCCTCACCACTTTCCCCATCTCTGTTTGCTCCTGCTGTGCCACACAGCCACCGGGCCATCCACAGCGCTTGACAACTCACCATCCTTCCACAGCATCCCAAACACTGGGATTATAGATGTATATTACCTACCTGGTTATATTTGGTTTTGTCTTTTAATTTTTATTACAAATTAAGGCTAACAAGCTGGCCCAGTGGGGAAAAGTGCCTGCTGCCATGCCTGACAACCTGAGTTTGGTTCCTGGGACCCACAAGGTGAAAGGAGAGCCCGACTTCTGCAAACTTCCCTGCCTCTTTCCTACCTGTGCCCTGACTGCTCCGCCCACATAGACATATATGTGTATGTGTGCACACACATAAATAGATATAGCACAATTTTTTAAAATTAAACTAGGTTTAGTGTTTTTTTTTTTTTTTTTGAGAGGCTTTCTATATAGCCCTGGCTGTTCTGGACCTTACTATGTAGATCAGGCTGAATTCATAAGTATCTACTTGTCTCTGCCTCCTGAGCACTGGGATTAAAGGCATGTGCCACCACGCCCAGTTTAAATTAGTTTTTAGACTTCTAAAAACTGAAAACTTTTAAATTGTGAGATATTCAAGTTGGGCAGTGGTGGAGGACATCTTTAGTCTTAGCGTTTGGGAGGCAGAGGCAGGCAGAACTCTGAGTAGAGGCCGCCCTGGTCTGCAGAGAGAATTCCAGGACAGCCAGAGCTACACAGAGAGACCCTGTCTCAAAGAAAGAAAGAAAAAAGAAATAATCAAGATTGAAAAATGGCGCAACACTTACATGTACAAAACAAAGAGTTAGAGAGTAAGGAGCAGCCAGCGGCTGTCCCACAGAAGCCGCCTCCCCCCTTCCTTACTGTGCTGCCCCTCTCCTCACCAGGCGCTCCTACCACCCCGTCCCACCACCCTGGCTCTCCTTCGGAAGCTCCATCCCTGCTGGAGTGCATAGTCCATGCTGTTTCTTTATCTTTCTGCAGTCCCCTGCTTGAGGTCGGGGACTTGTGGGGCATGGGATAAGCTTCTGGGTGGTCAGTCAGAGCCGGACTGGACAGGGTGGCGGGATGAGGACTTTGAGTAGGAGTTGGTTGCTGGGGAAACGGATGAGGTGAAGGAGGCAGTTTGCTCAGCTTGGGACCTGAGCAGGGCAGGGGCTCAGTTGGCCTTGAAAGAGACACGCACCACACCACGCACGAGTGACCAAGTCTCTTGGCATTGGGCCCTCAAGATGCCTCCTGGGATCGACGGCAGAGACCTTCCTGTGTGGCTTAGGCGGGACAGAGGATGGCTGGGAGGGCCTAGGAGTCTGGTGTGGAGGCGGGCACGGGGAGGACTGCAAAGGCGCTGAGCATGTGGCTGAACTTCCTGTAGCGAGAGCAGCTCCTTCGGTCAGGCCTGGTTGTGCAGGACTGGAGCACTCTTTCTGTTTCCGTTGTGGGTGTGAGGAGTGCGTGGGGTCAGGGTTAGGGGAGGGCGGGCAGTCTTGTCTTCTCCCTCTGATCCGGCTTTGGCAAGCTGCCCTTTGTGCTCCCACTCAGCGTGATTGGTTTTCAGCCCCTAGATCTCTGTAACCCTGCCCGGACTCTCCTGCTGTCAGAGGAGCTGCTGCTGTATGAGGGGAGGAACACAGCTTCCCAGGTAAGGCGTGCCCAGCCAGGCTGGTTTTCCTGCTCCTTCTCTTTGCAACTTCAGGGTGGAGACCAAAGGCCTTACCAAGTGGTTACCCAGCTTTTGCTTGCCCACTAGTTAAAGTGGCGATCTCACTGCCTCTAAGATTCGGTCACTGATATGGTCAAAACATACCTCCAGGCCGTAAAGGCATTTTATTGTTTATCCTGAGTTCCTCTAAGGAGGAGAAAGATGAACCTTTAACCAAGCTGAGAGAAGTACCTGAGAAGTTTAAAGTTACAAGCCAAAGAGACTTGTTAGAGGAAGTTTGGAGTCTTTCTGTATAAGCCCAAACCCAGACCCCCTCCTGAGAGCTCAGGCTACTGGCAACCCTCCCTGCCCTCCCCTCCCCCCGCCCCCACCTCTAGCCCCATCAGCAGGGGTCAGGGTAAGGCCTGTGTCATCATCATCTTCCGCATCTAGCCTATCTCTAGCCGGGACAACCTCCCTCACCCACACAGTTGGCCAGGTCCCAGCTCAGAGCTGGGATGGAAACTGTAAGAGACGCTGGAGCCATGGGATCTGACCGTGCTACCAGGAGGTCCTGGGTGACGGCAGAGTGCTTGTTTGCTGAAGCTCAGGCTCGAAGCCAGGACGAACGGCAATTTGGAACTGTGGAAAGACCGGGAAGCCTAGATCTAGCTCCAGCTTTGTTTCTGGCCTTCCTCATCAGTCTTTCCATCTGAGTAATGGGTTTGTACATGTCTGAGGCAAAGGGCAGGGTCTGAGGTTGGCCCCTTGCAGCCCCTTTGTCCTGGTCACTCTGTATGGCTGGAACTAACACATGAAGCTGGCTTGGCTTTGTCTAGTTGTAAGCAAGCAGATCAGATGCTATGTTCCGGATGAGCACGGCCTCTTTTGTGGCGGCTGCCTGGGGATACTGCAGTCCTGCTCCTCCCGTGCTGATGATTTCTGGTTTTTCAGTGTGATGGGGCCTCCACAGTCCTGCTGTGCATGACCCAAGGGCAGTCAATCATCAAAGTGTGGAAAGCAGAACGCAGGCTTTACTGAGAAAAAGATTATAGAACAGTGAGAAACTGAGGGCACGCTCCCGAGAGCGTGTGCGCGTGTGTCCCGGGGAGGAGAAGCCCATTGACTTTCCTTCATTTAGATTTCATGGAGCAGTGGCAGAAACCCAACAAAAGCTGATATATCTCTGCTGAGATTGGTTCATTCTCTGGGCTGCCATGGGACAAGCCAATGGAGAGACCACACGCTCTATGCCTTCCTCTGGTTTGACCAGAGAGGTGGGCTGTGCGCTGCTTCTGTGCTGCCCACCCCGACTTGGCCAGCCACCCTCCACCCTCCACCCTGCAGGCGTCTCCAGGGCTGTTAACTATGCTCAGCTTCTCTCATTTACACGATCAGCTGTGGCTTTACCATGGCAGAGGGGTTAACTCCCCAGCCACCAAGTTAGTCTTGTTGGTTCCCTCCTTGTCTATATAGTAGCCCAGAGTGTCTCCTAGGAGGAAGCCATCCAGGCTGACAATTTAGTCTATCACATTCAGCTGCGTTAGAATCAAGGTTACATGAAAGGACAATGGCGTCTGAGACGTGTTCTCAGGGGCTCCCCGAGCCAGTGGCCTGCCATACTGGCCCAGAGCCCTGTCTTTCCTCTTACCTGGCCAGCTTTTAATCTCACCCCCAACTTTAAGCCCTGACCTCTGATTTAAGTCTTACCCTTCCTTGCAACTGCAGGCTCTGCGCTCACCTTGCGGCCTTCACCACAGCCCTTACTGCCTGCACGGAGCTTAGCTGCTTTCACCCCTGGGACTGCTGACATCACTTCTGGACTGCTGTGTTAGGGAGTTCATCCTGTCTACCCCCAACTTGCTCCCATGGGAGAGGGGATCTAGGTGTTACAAGAGCGAGAAGTCTCTCGGGGCTGAGTTCCGTGCATATGCATGTAGTGCACGTAAGGTGTGCAGGGTCAGAACTGCTGAGTTGTGACTGTATATTTAGTGTAACCAGAGGAAGCCAGTTAGGGATAGCAGCCACCTGGAATGTGCTCGTATGTCTGGTATACTCCTTGTCTGGATCACCATGAACTCCACAAACAACAGGCACTTACTGCTCCTTACTGCTCCTATATGCTACATGTATGATCCCAAATTAGCCCTGTAGCGTCCTTGAGGAGAGGAGAGAAGCACAGTGAGAGGCTTGCTTGACATTAACCAGGGTCCAAGAACCCCAAGCCTGGGGGGAATGGAGACAGAATTAGTACTTGGTTCTCTGGCTGTGTAACGCTTTCCATGATCCCTGGTACTTTTGGTATGTTTATAAAAGACAAAAGAAGGAAAACAAAACTATAGTAGCATTTTACCACCCTCAACACACACACTCACTCTCACACACATCCTTGCCTCCTGCATCTAAAAGAACTAAAAGAGACTCCATCTTTAAGACTGAAAGAGGTGGTTTGAGGACAAGAAAATTAAGTAGATCCCTTCTTGAAGTAGGATCGTAGCCACATAGGAGGGCTTTGGTATCATCTCGTGTTCCTCCAATTGTAAATGGGAAGCAGCAGTCATGGGTGGGAGCTTCTGAGGGGCTGGGCACCCTCGAGCCGCAGGAGTCACTGTCCAGGGAGCACGGCAGCCTCTCCGCGCAGTGGAGCCATTAGCTGGAAAGTGGTCAGCAGTTCAGAGATCTGCACTCCTCGAATGCACCCCCACCCCAGCGTCTCTTCTCTGAGCATGCTGATGTTTGGGAGCAGCTCCAGTACCGCAGCACAAGCTGCTCTGCCCCTCCCATCTAGAAGTCACAACTTTGCTGCTAGCACATCCAGATCAGGCTGGCATTTTGTGGTGGCCTTTTTTGTTTGTTCATTGTTTATAATTTTATAAGACAAACTTTCTCTGTGTAGCCCTGACTGTCCCAGAACTCGCTTTGTAGACCAGGCTAGCCACAAACTCAGAGAACTGCCTGCCTCTGCCTCCCTCCCGAGTGCTGGAATTAAAGACGTGTGTTCATGGCAGCCTCCTATACACATGTCCTGGCAACAGTCGTGCTCACTGAGGATTCAGTCAGCTTTGCCAGGTTCCAAGACGGCACACCCTCACTTTCACACTGACTCATCGGGTTTACCATTAACTAAAGCACCAACCCGTTGTCTGCAGACCTAGCTTATGGCTGGGTTCCCAGGAGAAGGCTTTGGTTAGGGCCACTGGGAAGAAGTCACCTTCTGTCCGAGCTGAAAGAATTTCATGACTAAATCTTTGAACTCTGGGAAATACACGCGTCCTGGAAGAAAGTGAGAGTGAAACTCGAAAGGCCCCGGCTCCCATGGTGGGACACAGGCAGCTGGAGTGTGGACGTGGGGCCACTACTTTATGGGCGGTGAGGCTCTTGCCCATAAGATGCTGGGCAACAAGGGTCAGACGCTTTGCTCTGGTATGCCTGCCATCTGCCTTGCCTCCAGCCCTGTGCCAGCCCTGCCCTTGCCTGACCGACCTTTGGGGGGAATTTTCTCTCATGCCTTAATCATTTCCTGTCTAGACCATATTCTCAGCTGTGGGAACCAGGCTGGGATAGAGGCTTGGGGTTTTCTCACCTTGCTGTGGCCTTATTTGTTGTTGTTGTTGTTGTTGTTTTTGTTTTATTTTCTAGGCTCAGAGACTTCCTCTTCCAAACTTTCTTCTGCCAGCTTCCCTATGGGTCTGGAGGTAACAGCCAGCCCTTCCCTGACTGACTTTGCAGACTGCTCCTCAGACAACCCCTTACTGAAATTCTCCTGAGCACCCTATCCTCTGCTTTTCCATGCTTGCTGAATTTGTTGTCTCTTCTGCCTCAGGCACCATACAGCACCGCCTCTTTTTCTGTCTACTGTGGACATCGGGAACAGGCAGACCCCAGGAATGATTCCTAGCGGTGTGGCTGTGGGAAGTCACTTAACCTGCCCGAGCTGTGAAGAGCAATGGCATTGTTTACGGAGGACTTAGTAAGGCAAGAGTAGGTGCTAGCAGCCGGGATGCTGTGTGGAAACTGGGTTGGGCAGAGTTACTATGAAAACCCCTTCTAGCCAAGAATTCTAGAGCTTCTGGGACCTCTTAGAAGGGGACATAGCCCTGAGAGAGACGGCTTAAGGACATCCCTGAATTGTCTCTGTGGCCCTAATTACTTCCAGCTTCTGTTTGCATGACACTTGAGATGGCAGGTGGGCCTTTGATGTTGCCGACATATGTATTATATATATATGCACACTTATGTATGTGTATATATATATATGTTTTAATATACATTTTTTGAGACAAGTTCTCACCACACAGCCTAGGTTAGCTTAGACCTCATTGTGTACCTGGGGATAGCCTGTAACTCTCAGTTCTCTAGCTCAGCTACCAGACTACCGGGATTGTTCATTATACGATCATGGCCGACTTTTATTTCTTTTCAGTTACAGAAGTGCTGCTGAGAATATCCTTATATGTTCATGTTTATATATTCTCGTATTTCTGTAGGGTCATCTTTAACAGCTTGCTAGCTCAGCGTCAGCATGCTGGTGTTTAAACATGGCTAGCAAATCACTCACTGCACTCTTCAGACGTGCCGAGCCTTTCCGGCTGGTTCTTCTTTCCTCAGAAGAAATGGCATGTCAGATTTGGTCACTCAAAGAGCGGTACCTATAATTAATAATTCTTTATTATTATTATTATTGGTGATAGAATCTTTTTACTTTTTTTAAAATTTTTATTGAGCTCTACATTTTTCTCTGCTCCCCTCCCTGTCTCTCCCCTCCCCGATTCAACCCTCCCCCAAGGTCTCCATGCTCCCAATTTACTCAGGAGATCTTGTCTTTTTCTACTTCCCATGTAGATTAGATCTATGTACGTCTCTCTTAGGGTCCTCATGTTGTCTAAGTTCTCTAGGATTGTGGTTTGTAGGCTGGTTTTCTTTGCTTTATGTTTAAAAACCACCTATGAGTGAGTACGTGTGATAATTGTCTGAGTCTGGGTTACCTCACTCAAAATAATGTTTTCTAGCTCCATCCATTTTCCTGCAAGATTCAAAATGTCACTATTTTTTTTCTGCTGTGTAGTACTCCGTTGTGTAAATGTGTTGGGGTCTGTGGCCCCAACATAAAAACTACTTTTCCCTAACTCGACTGGTACGGAGGCGTTTGAAATAATGAGACACAGTTTACACAGCAATATTGGAAGGGCATCTCAGGCTTCACTCATTCCTGAAGATCTACCCGCATTTATTATTCAAACACCTTTTATCCCCCAGGTAAATCAAGGTGGAAACTCATTAATATTCTCTTTCCGGGGACGTGGGAAAACCCAAACACCTGCAACTTAAGTCATCAGCTTGGAAACAACACCTCCCCAGGTGGTCTACATATTAACGCAAGGGAAGGAACAACACATCCTGAGCCTTTGTTAGGTGGCTACCAGGTGTCTGGCAGGATTGCAGCTGCTCTTGTAAACTAAGCATGGCCAGAGAACCTGGCTGCAAATATTTTGTATGAAATATGGGCCTACATAAATGTACCACATTTTCCTTATCCATTCTTTGGTCGAGGGGCATTTAGGTTGTTTCCATGTTCTGGCTATGACAAACAAAGCTGCTGTGAACATGTCCTTGTGGCACGATTGAGCATCCTTTGGGTATATAACCAAAAGTGGTATTACTGGGTCTTGAGAAAGGTTGTTTCCTAATTTTCTGAGAAATCACCACACTGACATCCAAAGGGATTGTATCAGCTTGCTCTCCCACCGTCAATGCAGGAGTGTTCCCTTTACCCCATATCCTCTCCAGCATAAGTTGTCATCAGTGTTTTCGATCTTGGCCATTCTTACAGGTGTAAGATGGAATCTCAGAGTTGTTTTGATTTTCATTTCTCTGATGACTAAGTATGTTGAGCATTTCCTTAAGTGTCTTTCAGCCATTTTAGATTCCTCTGTTGAGAGTTCTCTGTTTAGGTCTGTACTCGTTTTTTTAAATTGGATTATATGTTCTTTTGGTGACCAATTTCTTGAGTTCTTTGTATATTTTGGAGATCAGTCCTCTGTCTGATGAGGGATTAGTGAAGATCTTTTCCCATTCTGTAGACTGTCATTTTGTCTTGTTGACCATGTCCTTTGCTTTACAGAAGCTTTTCAGTTTCAGGAGGTCACATTTATTAATAGTTTCTCTCAGTGTCTGTGCTGCTAGGGTTATATTTAGGAAGTGGTTCCCTGTGCCAATGTGTTCAAGTGTACTTCCCACTTTCTCTTTTATAAGGTTCAGTGTGGCTGGCTTTATGTTAAGGTCTTTGAGTCATTTGGACTTGAGTTTTGTGCATGGTAATAGTTATGGGTCTATTTTCATTCTTCTACATGTTGCTATCCAGTTATGCCAGCACCACTTGTTAAATATGCTTTCTTGGCAAAAATCAGGTGTTCGAAGGTGTGTGGATTAATATCTGAGTCTTCTGTTTGGTTCCATTGGTTCTCCTGTCTGTTCTTATGCCAGGCTGTTTTCAGTACTGTAGCTTTATAGTAGAGTTTGAAGTCAGGGATTGTGATGAACAGAAATTCTTTTGTTGTACAGGATTGTTTTGGCTATCCTGGGTTTTTGTGTTTCCATATGAAGTTGAGTACTCTTCTTTCAAGGTCTGTGAAGAATTTTGCTGGGAATTTGATGGGCATTGCGTTGAATTTGTAGATTGCTTTTGGTAAGATTGCCTGTTATTATAGAATCTAAAATAGGAATTTGTGGCTTTAAGGAAAGGCTACTGTAGGGCAGATCAAGGAAAGAACAGTGTAAACTTTAGTGGATATAGAGAAGCAAAAGCACATGTCTGTTTATGTACAATGTCTGAAAACAGCCTTTCCTTTGTGTCTGGAGCATAAAGGAGATCAGCGGTTACGTAGCGGTTACGTAGATTTAGGGGTTACGTAGAAGCCTGCATCATATACAAGTAACTGCTCTTTTCTCGAACCAGTTTCTCATTGATATACTTCAAAAATATCTGCAAGAGATTTGGTAATATTACTTTGTGTTGCTCCCCTTCACGTTACAGAGGGCTTGTAGAAGAAGCTTGAGGAGTCAGGTGTGGGGTGAGGTCTGGGGATACCCCAGAACCTGAATTGAATAAGGCTCTTACCGGTGAGGTGAAGGCAAGAACCATTCTTGTTTGACCTTCTCCTCCTCTCCTTCTTGTTCCTACTTTGAGTGGAGGAAGTATAGAAAACTAAGGGACAGACTGCTGCCCCCACTGCAAGGCGGGCCTGTGTCACTGGAGATTGGCAGAGTCACCCTTGGAGTTCTTTCTGGCTCAGCCGGACACAGTATGGGTGTGTTTCCTGGACTCCAGTGGACCTTGTGGCTCCCTGCATCCCGGAGGACAGCAAGGCGGAGTGTTGTATTTGTCCTTTCCCTTAACAGGTGACACTGTTTGCCTACTCAGACCTGCTGCTCTTCACTAAGGAGGACGAGCCAGGCCGCTGTGACGTCCTGAGAAACCCCCTCTACCTCCAGAGTGTGAAGCTACAGGAGGGTAAGAAAGGCCTGGGCACCCAGGGGCAGCATGGTGGCCCGCTAGGGACTTTGTAGAAATATGGCTGTCAGTTTCAGTGGAGCACTTGAGAATGTGCTGTCATGGCTGCCTGGGGCTGGCAGATTGCCAAATGCACCCCAGGCTGGGGAGACCAGAATCGAGGGCCTTGAACACAGGTCTCAGAGTCCAAAACTCTCTCTGCTCTTTCCCTTGGAAGCCAGTGGCAGGCTTGTGTGTGTGTGTGTGGGGGGGGGGGGGTCTCAGCTTCTCTGAGCCCATTTCCTCTCTGTGAAGCAGGGTGATAATGGCACTTCAAAGGTTGCTGGGTTAAGTTAGGTCATTTATGTAAAGTGCCTTGCTCCAAGCAAGCTCCCAATGGAGGCTTCTTGACCATGATCTGTGGACACTCCTTTTTTATAGCCGGCTGTATGGGGCCTGGTCAGAGCCTTAGGAAGCTGGAGTATGCCCGTACATCAACAGCAAGCTGGGAATTTCTAACCCAAAACTTTCCATGGTGTCCTGGCCCACAGGGGACTAGGGAACGGAAAGCCAGCTGGGAGGATCTGTCCAGCCACAGGCTTTGGCGCCTGAGGTCTCAGCCGAAAGGGGTTCGGTTTCCTCTCCCAGATTATGCAAACAACAACAGACCTGTGTGATCTCAGGGCAGCAGGGGCACAGGAGGAAAATATTAGCCGCCAAAGAATTCTGTTTTGGCGGGTTTTGCTCCAGAACTTCCTGACTGCTTGCAAAGCCATCCGTGTGCTTGGTGCCCTGGCCTCCTTGGGAAATGGCCTCCCCGTGGGGGACTGACAGAGATACCGACAGGAGAGTAAGGGAGACACGGCCCTCCGGGCCAGCCCATGGGGCAGTGGGAAGGGCAATGGCTCTGGTATTCTAGATGGCTCCTTTCTGCCCTCCAGTTACTCTCACACCTTCCCCTATGCTCACACACAATGCTTACTATTGTCAGCCTGGCTTCCCTGCTGTGCCCCTCTTGGCTGACCTGTGTACCCAGCAGAGCAGTGCTCAGTACCTCGCACTAGGTGCACCAGGACCTGAACCCTGACCGTTGCACACTCCAGGGCCACAAGCCCCAAACCCTTACTGACCCAGCTTCCTGCTGACTGCTTTTTGGGTGGATCTGGGGTGGTGGGTAGAGAGAGCAGCGGCCGCAGGACTGGGGGCCAAACACAGCTTCACTGTAAGAAGAGTACACTTGTAACCTCTGTGGACCTTTTCCTTTTACCCCTTCACAGTTTCCCGCCTGTCCCTGACACCACGCTGGCTCTTGGGAGAAGCTGGTTACTACTCATATCACCCTGCTTCCAGATTGGGATATACAGGCTGGGGGCTGACTGGGCTTCCCCTCCTGGAGGCCCAGGGCCTGGATTTGGAGTTTGAGGAATTTGTACACACTCTCCTGTACCAGGCAGTGATGTTCATGGTGGGTGGTAAGAGCTAAGGGGTGCAGAGAGGCTCCCCAGAGACTCAGTTGCATGCAGAGATGGTCTGGGGCTGAGGCCGTGTCTGCTTGTGGATGATGGGACAGTCACAATGAAAACTAAGGTCAAAGCTAAGGGTGACCCCGGCAGCGCATCTCAGGCAAGATGATCACAGACACAGCCTGTCCTGCATTTCCTGGGTAGACCACAGGTCTGAGAGGGGTTGAAAGTGAATCCTGGGACGCCTGGAGCTGCTGAGATGGACGGAGAAGGCTAGTTGGAAGGAGCACTCAAGGTACATGATTCAGGACTTAGATTTACTTATAGACACCAAACGGAGCTCACCATTCAGCTCTCTTCAGATAGGCTCTGTGTTCTGAAGTCCCACGCCTCCTGCTGCAGCAGCCAGAGTCAGAGATGTGGGGTTCAGTGTCCTGAGGCTGGTGCCATTTCCTAGCCCCTCCCACATGCCCCCAAAGAGGCCATTTGGGAGTTAGCCGGAGTGTCTGGTGGCAGAATGGTCTCTCTTAGGTTTCTACTTGATTTCAAGTCAGTTTAGGGGGCCAAAAGTTGTTAAACAAAGAAGGTCTCCAGCTTGGCAGGCTGGGGCTGGCAGGTGCTGCTCCCTAGCAGGGCAGAATCCAGTCTATCCCTGGGACCAAGGACTCCCTTGTGACTTGTTTGCTGCGGCCTGGCTCTGCTGCTCAACCCTATTCCTGGGACTGAACAGGGAGCATGGCATAGTCAGGTGACCAATGGACACTTGTTTCTGTAAACAATGGATGGCTAAGAGGAGACCAGAGTGCCGCCTTAGCTTGGCAGTGGGTGGCTCCTCCACCGGAGTTCCAGAGTCAGGTCACGCCTCCTGTCAGCTTCTCCCAGGGTTCGTCAGGACTGAGTGGCGATGTGATGGGAACAGGAGGAGAGCCGGTGCTAACAACTGGGACATCTCCGGTCAGCTGGGGCCCATTGTGGTCTCTTCCTGCTACTGCTGCCTGCTGGTTTTGCTACTCTTGTGTTTCTGCCCCCCTGGCAGCCAGGGTCACACCCACGGTGTGTCTTTCTGGCCTTGTCTGTTCTTAGATACAACCTGGAAATGTCTGTCTGACTCATGGGCTTTCCAGGCACACTGGAGAGCCAGGATTCCAGCTTAGAAACTCAGCTGCCTCAGCCCCAGCTGCTCGAATGATTGCTTGACGTTATCTCAGTTGTCCTCCATGCTCACCTTAGTTCTGGCCACGGCAGTGAGAGCTGGGGACAATCCTCTCCACCCTGGAGTTCCTAGCTGGCCGGGATCACAGACATATACATAGGATTAGGAATCCAGGCTTTGTGGGGAGCTCTCTGTCCTGGGTTCAGATCTCAGCCCTGCCACTTACTGTCTACAGAGTTCCCTTGAGAACATAGACAAGAGCTCTCTGGCCGGCCTCCACTAGTGGAGAAGGTTTGGTGTTCTCTGGGTAAGTGCTAGATAGATAAGCAGACACGGGCCGGGAAGCCTTCTCTGGCCTCCTAGGTGACACATGATTCCCTAATAATTCCTCCTGCATGGTCTGTGCATCACATGGGAGAAGTTAGCCCACTCTGAAACTACAGACTCCTTGATAAATTCCAAAATGGCAGAGGCAGTAAGTGTGATTCAAGGAAAACCCCCATGTCGGAAGCCTTGGTGTCCGGCTCTTCCAGCAAGGCAGAGGTTCTCTGCAGTTCTGTCCAGAGCTGCAAACACTCCTTCCCTGGCACCCTCGGCTCTGAATCCTGCTACCCACTGCTGCCAGCACAGATGCCAGGGAGGGGGCAGGGCTGGTGTCAGAGCGCAGAGACACAGGGACTGTCTGACAGTGTGTTTCTCCAGCCTCAGCTCCCATCCTCCTGATTCTCTCATCTCTCAGTCCTGTTCTGTACTTCTAAGGCCTTCTCTCCCCTATTACTTTCTTACATGGATTGTAGTGGTCTCTGCCTTAGACTGGGGTCTTGCTAAGAAATACTTCAGTATGTTTTCTTAAGCAAAGGAAACCCCTTGTCTCCCTCTCACCAACACACAGAACCACAGAGACATTGGGATCCATTCTCTTCAACACTACAGATATCTGAGGCAGGGCCGGTTTCCATGTGGGGAAAAGTAGAAAGACTGAGTCCAAGTCCAGAGTGGACCTCCATTTACTTATGGGACTTTTTGTTCTAGCTCTGCCCGGCAGCTCCCTCCCCTTGGGATGTGTTCACTCTCTTGCTCGAGGAGGCCTGGCTTCCCTTGGTTAGGTCTCTATCTCCCTGTGTTTTTAGAGCTTGGCTTGATGTGCAGTCTGCTCCTACCTCGATGCTTCTCCTAGTGACAGACCCTGTTTGGTTTGCTGGTTCCTTTGCCTTACGTATGCATTGAAGGGGTCCCCTGGAGCTTGGCATTTGAGAGGCAAGCTGTGCGGTGATTGAGTGTGAGCCATTGAACTGGGCTACAGGTCCTACCACCTGGCCCAGTAACTTTCCCCTATGGGTCCTCTGTTCTCACATGAGCCAAGGATGCTAGGAGCCCTGCCTCCTAGTGGACAGGAATGAATACAGAGGCAAGTACTCTCAGCCCCTGAGCTGACTGGTGGAAGCATTTGGGGCAGCACTTGGCCCAGATCACTGTGGTACTCCAGGGTCCCTGACACTTCAAGTGGCTTGCTGTTACTTGTGTTGGATAGTTGCTTTCCTCAAAAACTGACACCCTGCTTGGTAAGGCCAACAGCTGGAAGTGCAGGGAGTCCCCAACCCTCCCAGGCCTGTGTCCAGATAACACTTCAGAGACAGTGCAGCCAAATCCCGAGGCAGAGGGGGTGAAGGGAGCAGGGCAGGTGTCCTGGTGGGGGCTTGTGCGCTTCTGTGCGGACTGGCCCAGTTCCATCTCCACGCTCATGGCTATACCATCCCCACCTCCCAGTGTTCCCTTCCTTTCCATCTGGAGTTCTCCTGAACTAAGAGTCTTCCCAAGAAGGGAAGGGAACAGCCCACCGCCCGCCCTAATCTTCTCCAGTTTTGTAATGGGTTGAGTTTGCCATAATTGACCAGCAGTGACAGTCTAGAGAGCGTGGCCATGTTGAAGAGCTGTCTGCCAGGATGCGCAGAGATGGGACTGAAGACTGCCCCTCGCTGACCCGTGCTTCCCTGAGTGAGGAACAAGGTCCACTCAAAGGTTTAATGGCTCCCTGTTAAATTTCAAAATAGAAAAGGTGGTAGAGTTTAAGGTGTAGGTACTTAACCTGTGGGTAGCGACCCTTGGGGTCGAATAACCCTTTGTCAGGAATCACATATCAGGTATCCTGCATATTAGATATTCGCATTATGATTCCTAGCAGTAGCAAACTTATAGTTATGAAGTGGCAATGAAAATTTATGGATGGAGGGTCACCACAACACAAGGGGTCGCAACATTAGGAAGGTTGAGAACCAGTGGTTTAAGAGAAACCGCAGAAGTGTGCTACCTCTCCAGCAGAATTCTGGGAGGAAGGAGTCCTTCTGGGATACAGATAACTCCCTGTACCTGGCCATTAGGGGTCAGAGGGTCTCCTGAGAATGGGGTTCCGGCATTCTCTGAGTCAGGTAGGCAAAAGCCTTTCAACTGTGCATCACTTGGATGGGTAAGTTAGTGAACTTTGCTCTAGAGACTGCTCTGCTCCCCACACCTGCCCTCTCCTTTCTCTTGTTAGGGGAGGCACCACACGCAGCCTCCTGGGTGAGATACTGACTGTGCCCAGAGAGGCTTTGGTTGGGTAGCCAATTCTAATGTGAGTCTTCTTTTCTGTTCTCTTTGAAGGCTCTTCAGAAGACTTGAAATTTTGCGTGCTGTACCTGGCCGAGGTGAGTCCCTCTCTCTGATTTGGAGGAGTGTGACCTGGTACTTGAGGAAAGAGGTGGGACCAGGCTTGAGGTTGGCTTCCATATAATCATGCAACGACCGAAGACCAAGTCAGAGACAGTTTCTTACTGTGTAGAACACAGCCGACCCTGTTTACTTCTGCATGAAAGGGCAGCTAAACAGGTGGTACTCGGGATGGCCCCTGAGATACCCTGCTTGGGCCCGCTGCTGTCCCTGTCCCTGCAGGCATCCTGAGGGCGTGGCCCGACAGCTGCACACAGCTGCACACTGCCCTGTTTATTTATTTACTCGCCCCTCTTCTGGAGACGGCCCAGCTCCCACGCCTGCTTCTTTCACCCTCTTTTTCCAGGAAGTACCACCCCCATTCCTCCTACAAAGGCTTGTCAGTGTTTCAAAGGCCTCAAGGTAATTGTACCTTCACCTGGCCAGATAGTGCAAGCTTAAAGCAGTCACCACGTGTCCGTGTTTGGCTCAGAGAGATGCCCACAAGAGGGACCGACACTCTTGATGATCTCGGATTAGAAGCTTGTGGAGGCTCGTGTACCTTTCAGGAGCAAAACCAAGCAAAGCTTTTGCTCCATGTGTTTGCAGGGCTCTAACCAGAGAGGCCCTTGGTGACGAAAAATCTGAGGGCCACCAAGTCATCCAAATTCTCTTCAGTTTCCTGTGTAATTTTCTGTTCCCAGCCTTGTTCTGATGACATGTGGCATCTGTCCAAGCAAGGCCCATCTCTGCCTTCTGCTGTCTTGTGTCTGTATGATAGGGATGACCTAAAGGGCTGGCCGAGAGGAATATACCTTTCTGAAAAGGGATTTGCATCACCTGGGATTGAAAAGCATTCCTTCAGTTTCTGGCTAAGAACCCAGGAACAAGAAAGTTTACCGGGAACTTGAGAGTTGCCAAGAAGCAAGGTTTCATAGTAGAACTGGGGACTCAGGTCTGAAAGTAGACCTGCAGGCAGTGGAGATTCTCCCCCGTGTCAACCACAGTCCAGCCCAGGCACAGGAGTGGCTGGTAAAATCCCTTCATCACTGGAAGGCGTTCAGTTCCACAGAGCTGAGCAAGCCAAGTATAGACAGGAGGAATGGTGGCAGAGATGTACCCACTGCCCCTCTGGCTTCCCATGTGCTCCCCAGCTTCTGAAACGAGGCTGAGGTTCTCTAACAGCAAGAGTGCTTCCTGCCAGACTGATGTTTTGTTGCTTCTGAGACCTCCTTTCTAGTTCTCTAAAGATTGGCAAAGGGCTATTGATCTGAGGTCTCGAGTTTCCGGAATGTACCAGGTGATCTGACCCTGAGGGACTGGGAGAGTGCATTTCTCAGGCAGCTGGGAGCTGGGAGCCGGGAGCCTCTCACCTTAATGGGCTTCTCCTAATGAGGAGCAAACCTTGGTGCGGGGAGGACCACACTGCTTGGCCCTGAGCATTCTTGTTGTAGGTGGTGTTGAGCCTCCTGGAGATCCCTAAACAAATCTTAGTTAGAATTTCTATGGAATAGTTTAGTCTCCCTTGCCTGATATGCTAGTGACACCCAAGAAGAAACTGGGAGGATTTGAGGTTTTAAGAGGTATTTTTTCCGTCTGCATTCAGAAAAGTCACAACTGTCCTGGGGACAACATCTTGGTCCTGGGTAGGGTTATCCTGAGCAGTCTTGTTCTCATTTCTCTCTCTCTCTCTCTCTCTCTCTCTCTCTCTCTCTCTCTCTCTCTCTCTCTTTCTCTTTCTTTCTCCTTCCTTCCTTCTTTCCTTCCTTCCTTCTTTCTTTTTTTCGAGACAGAGTTTCTCTCTTCAGCTATGGCAGTCCTAGATAGAACTCACTCTGTAGATCAGGGTGCCTTCAAATTTAGAGATCCGCCTGCCTCTGTCTCCTGAGTGCTGGGATTAAAGGTGTGCGCCATCACTCCTGGTCTGCTCTAAGCAGTCATAATTCCAAGGACAGGTGTCCCTCAGTCCTTCTGAATCTGGGATATATGCAGCCCACAACTGGCTTCAGAGCATGGGGCATATTGTCTGGGAACCATTTTCTCTCTCCTTTATGACATGGGGTTGACTCTATTCATTGAAGAAGCTAGTTTTGGGAATGAGGAGGCTCTGCCATTTCTTGAGTGATCTGGATCAGGTTACATACTCCTGACATAGACAGTGAGTCTATAACATTTCTTGCAGGGTTGTAATGTTAAAATGAGATTCAATAAGACAATGCATCTAAAACACTTAGCCCAGAGCCCAGCCCTCAGCATGCTCAGCCAGTAGCAGCCAAGTAGTAATTAGATCAACACAGGAGGAAGGACTTTTCATGTCCGTTTACTCTCCATTAGAGGTCTCATGTTTTAGAACGACAGCTTGGTGGACTTTCTCACTTCCCAGGTAACACCTACGTGGTTATACAGGCCTGGCAAGATCCCAGGTTCTGGAGTTAGTTAGGATCGTCTTAAGGTTTGGCCCCTCAGAGTCTTAGTTATCTTATACTCCCACCCCCCAAATGGTGGCAGCAGTATCTTTCTTGTCTGCCTGCCTCCTCTGTCCATCAGGAGAGAATGAGATGAAACAAGTTTATCATGGCACATGGACAGGCTTCAGTTACTGCTGAAGCTGTTTAGGTTTTTACAAAGATAAAATCAGTTTAAAACAAGGATGTTAGGAATGATTTTTTTTTTTAAAAGAGGCCAAGAAGAGCTGGGAGTCTGGTTGGATTTGAGGATACAGTCAAGTGCAGGGGTCCCCCACCTAGTGCTGTGGGACGAGATTTATGCAGCTAAGAAGCCTGTGTTTGGTCACGCATCCCACAGTCAGAAGACAGTGCCTCTGAGTGGACAGGATACCTTTAGGAGGGCTTGCAGCCTTGACCCTGGAATCTGCTATTGAAGCCATTGAGCAAGTCAGAATTGAAGCTGACTAATTGGGTCATTTGGAGCACACGGAATTATGACAGATGGTTCACATGTGGGCCAGCTGGCAGGCAATGAGGACTCACAGTTTGGACAGATTTGGGCAGGTAGGGAGTTAGCCTCTCTTCAGGGAGCTGGCTCTCTCTCTCTTGGCTAGACCACTCTTTGAAACCCAGGCTCCTTCTAAAAATGTTTCTCCTTGTAAGACAGTCCCACCTGGGGCTAGGTCCTGGGTGCCGAGGAAGCCTTCTTAGTTCTCAAGCATTGTAGCAGGTGCTAGTTTCAAACTGTCAGGTGTGGTTCTGTCCTTTGCTGGACAGACCGACAGTAAAGTTGCCATCCCTGATCCGGGATATCATTCTTGTAAGGAGATTCTGGAGGAGGCTCTGGGCTCAGCTGCTGGCTGCGTGACTCACTGAATCGTATGTAATCATTACAAATGGCCTGGTGGCTATCCCAGGTAAGAACCCCAAGGACCTTTCTAAGAAGTGTTTCTTGAAGGTGTCAGTAGTATAGAACAGCCACCGCTGCTCCCTCGAAAGGCTGTTGGAAGAAATATCAAGGCATGCTAGTGAAGAGCTTGGTGCTGTGGAAGTCAATTCAGGATTAGGGTCAGGGATGCTGGCTGCACTCAAGAAGCTTTCCTGTGTCTTTTAGGGAGAGACTTGCCATGCCAGAGTAGCAAGCAGCTGTACAAAAAGCGTCTTGTGACCACCACAACTAGAGAGCCCCCTGACCTACATAAAGTTTCTTCTGATGGCATGATACTCCCGTTGCCTCCAGGCTGTAAGACAGAGCAATCCTACCAGCAAGGGGTGTAAAAGCCTCACTGGGAGGTGATATCTTCCAGAGCTTAGAGATGAAATTGCAGCAGGTGGCTCTCCCGGCTCAGTATTTCCCTCTGATTGATTCATTGGCTTCAAGATTCAGAGAACCCCTTGGCCATTCTGAACCTTGGTCTTCCCCTTCCATAAAGGGGAATAACAATCCACACCCCAGCTAGGCATGGTAGCACATGTCTGTGGTCCAGAGGTAGCAGAAGGATCACATGTTTCTGGGCAGCCTGGACTTGGCAGTAAGTTCCAGGCTGGGCTGAGCTAAAGGATCATGAGCTCAAAAAAATCAAGGGCTGGGAGTAGAGTGCTTGCTTAGCATGTGTACAAAATTGGGTTTGATCCATAGCAATAAAATAAAATAAAAGAATAGAGAATCCGCACCTTCTCCGCTTCTTGAAATTGTCCAGATCAAAATGAGATCATAGATACAGACTACATTATAACACAGTTGATAAATTAGGTGGAGAATAGTCAGAAGCCCACATGGTGAGGTAAGAGCAGGGCTAGGAGGCTCAAGCTGGGCCGTGTTTGTAAAGCGGTGGCCTTTCAAGGCTGGACAGGACCTTCTTGGTCCCTCCCACTTAGGGGAACACCATGAGGCAGGAAGCAGAGGGCCCACTGCTTGCTGGGCTCCCCCGGGAAGCTGAGGCTTATTTGCTCTGCAGTGGGGAGGAGTGGTCTGGGAAGTGGAGGACCTGACTTTAAGTGAAGCATGGGCTTGCCACAGCTCATCCTCTCAGCTCCCTCTCCCTCGTGCTTTTAGGAAAAAAGCTTCTCAGTATTTTGCAGCATGAGAGGATGGCAAGCGCTCCAGGAACACAGGATGGGAGGCGTCCCTGCCCTCGATAGAGGCTGGATGTGAGAAGTAGCTGCACTGCTGTATGCCATGGTCCATGGAAGTCCTTCCTGCTTTGTAGATTTGGGGTGCAGGCAATGCCACTATTCTATAGAACACTTCTGACTTTCTAGGGGTTGGGAGCTGAGAAACCAAGTCTGCAGAATGGAGAGACTGGGTGATACGTGGTCTTTCTCTCCCAGCTCACGCTCTTGACTCCTTGGCTGAGTATTAGCAGCAGCGGGTGAAGAACACCTTGCCATCTTCTGGTCCTAGCGCCTCGTGGGGGCTGGGGAGACCCTGCGCGCTAGGAGTTACACTACCTTGCCCCCCGAATGCCCTGACTGCTTCAGGGACTGACTGACTGGTGCTGT